TAATGGCGTCAGTTTTGTTAAGCAAATTAATTAGATATGTCCGTGACATTTTAACTCGTGTAAAAATTACTCGTATTACTGCGTTAACCGATTCGACTATCGTGTTGACGTGGCTTCAGACAGAAGCTTACAAATTAAAGCCGTTTGTTAGTAACCGTGTTACTCAGGTATGTGAAGTGTTACCTCCACACTGTTGGCGTCACGTGAGTAGTGAGTGCAATATGGCAGACATATGCTCGCGCGGAGCGTCTCCGTCACAGCTCGTGGAGTGCAGTGAGCAGTGGTTGAAGGGCCCATCTTGGTTGTACGACGACTATTCGCAGTGGCCAGTGAGAACCTTTATCAACCAACATGAAAGTAATACACCCGAAATGAAATCAAATCATACATTAGGCTCCTTCAATTTAATCACAAATGAAAATAATTCGATAGAGGAGACTAAGTTAGAGTTCTGTGACCGAATCTTTTCCAATTTCTCTTCTTATTATAAACTGCAACGTACGTTTGCTCGAATATTGAGATGGTTCCGACTCAAATCCGGTCACTCGAAGCAATCAATACTGACGACTAACGAATTAAATACTGCCCAAGATGTTTTAATTAAATTAGTACAAAGTGCATACTTCGCAAATGAAATAAATAGATTGTCAAAGGGCACAAAGTACGTTCCGTCGTTGAGAAAATTATCTCCATTTATTGACGAACGCGGATACCTCAGGGTGGGGGGTCGAATAAATTATTCAGCGTTACCTTATAACGCGAAGCATCCTCGTTTATTACCTAAAAATAGCAGATTTACCTTTTTACTTATTGAATATTTACATAAAAAATATTTACACGTAGGTCCACGCACCTTACAAAACATTATTAATCAAAATTTTTGGATTTTAGCATCCCGTCGCATTATTCGGTCAGTTTTGTCCAAATGCAAAATTTGTTTTAAACACAACCCAGTGCTCTTACAGCCTGAGATGGCACCTTTGCCAGCAGCCCGATTGATACCTTGTAATGTTTTTGAGCATGTAGGGGTGGACCTCGGTGGTCCGTTCTTCACAAAAGAAAGTTTACGACGAAATGCTAGGGTTGAACGGTCATATTTAGCATTATTTATTTGTTATTCGACAAAAGCTGTACACCTTGAAGTCTTATCGTCGTTGTCATCGGACTGTTTCCTCGCGTGTTTAGACAGATTTGTAGCGCGACGCGGTGTGTGCTCCTTCCTTTATTCGGATTGCGGAACTAATTTCATAGCTGCTAGTAAGCATTTAACCGAAGTACAAAGATTTATGCTCGAACAAAAAAACAATATATTAGAGGGTTGCTCAAAACGTCAAATTATATGGAGATTTAATCCCCCTGGTGCACCACATATGGGTGGGCTCTGGGAAGCTGGAATTAAATCCGCCAAGTATCTATTAACGCGAGCCGTAGGAGAAAAAAGTTTGACGTTCGAGGAACTCACAACAGTGTTTTGTAAAGTAGAAGCGATTCTCAACTCGCGGCCGCTTTGTCCGTTACCAGCTAGTGATAATCCTGATGAGTTCAACGTTTTGACTGCGGGACACTTTCTAATTGGAAAAGGGTTAACAGCAGTACCTGAGTATAATGTAGAGGATATAACAATAAATCGATTATCACGTTGGCAATATATTCAAAAATGTTCACAAATGTTTTGGCGTAGATGGAGTCACGAATATCTAAATACGCTGCAACAGAAAGCAAAGTGGCATTCGGATAGATCTAATATAAAAATAGGTGATCTCGTAATCATAAAAACTGATAATGTACCGCCGTGCGATTGGCCTTTGGGTAGAATTGAGGCTCTTCACCCCGGTCCAGATGGGATTGTTCGTTGTGTTACGCTTCGCACTCAAAAGAGTACTCTACAGAGACCAGTTAATAAACTGAGTCCTCTACCTTATTCAAATTAGTTTTTACGTGTATTAATATTTTTTTTTCTCGTTGAGGACATTCTGTGTCTCAGCGTTATTTTGCATGTTCCGTAGCTTAAGTTATAATATTTTCTCTAATATCTTTTTCATATAGTTAGGAGAAACCATCAAGATGGTTTCGGTGGGGGGTGTGTTCAGTAATAAACCGCAACTCACAAAATTTATACCGAGGCACAATGATCTGCTACGATCGGAGCGCCGGTCACACCTAGTGGCAACATTGCGACGTAATATGCGTTGTAATAATCTGTGGAGTTAAAAAAAAGAGAAGAGGAGGGTAGGAGGCGAGACAAGCCACACACATTCTCTTTGTGTTCGTGATGTGAACATCTCTCCAAAAACTTTAAAAAGGGACTACGCCAGAGTGTACCGTGTACAATCTAATTGCTAGTGTATTCTACCGTGTAGAAGAAGCTACCAGGAGCTGTCAACGTTTGCTGATCTTGGGAGGCTGGCTAGTAAGACCGTGAGTAGTTTATTGCTGTTTTTGGTGTGATTTTGTGACTGCGGTAACTGAACGTTTCAGGGGATTTAGATTCTCAATACAGTCCACTATATCTAGTAAAATAATCCCAATCCGCCACACACATTATATACAAATTTTTGCTTTTTGCACTCTGAAATTATTGTATGTAGACAAATTTTTCCTGTGTGCAGTTTGTACAGTTGTTGTATAGGTACAAACGCTGTATTGCGAAGGTATAATATTTATAAAGTCAAATGTGCATTGTTGTATTGTTAACGCTTGTCGTTTCCTCTTTAAGAAACCTCGGTTTCAAAAGGACTTCCTTGCTGTCCATCTCTGTAACCGATTCGATGCCACACTGACAACAATTGGCTTGCTAACATTTGTTTGGTATGTTTTACTGGCAGTTTCGTGTTCATAGAACATTTCAGACAAAATCTTATTCCAAAATATTGTATTATCTTATCGGATTATTTAATAAGGTTATAAAATGTTCGTTGAAGTTTCTTAAATTCCGATTCTTTTTGAATTCTAATAAGTAAACGATATTTTCAATAAATTATGATAGATCTCCCCTGTCCCTGAACTTAGGTACTCATTACCATTGATATACCATGCAGTCTAGATGATTTGATATATCTAAGCGGTGAAAAAGGCATTCAGTATCATGAAACTACTAAAGGATACGGCCGAAAGAAGGTTGTAATGCAATGTCCTAATCACGGCGATGTCACACCTGTATATTATGTTCGAAAATAGTAGCTCTCACAAAGCATTACGGTACTGAAAAAGTTTCATTCACTATTTCTGAGAATTGCATGCATCAATACATGGAACACGCACACGTGCAACACGTGCATTTTGTCTGTGCAGCACTGCTTCCTTCGGAGAGACAATGCTAGAACGCACACAACACACGCACACATTCACTATTGCACTCGACGGCAAAGACAAAATTTGCAAAACTAGATGTCTAACACACACAAGCTTTCCCTTAAAGTATTTCCACAAATTACTTAAACGAAACAATGCACTCAGCATAATACGTGCCCTGTAACCTCTTTCTTTTATCCATACGTAACTCAACCAATTAATGAATTTAAACAATGAAGAACCGACATCCGATGGGAAGAAGGGTTCTCGAGTGGCAGCCTCGTACTGGTGCAAAAACTAAGCGCAGAGTTGTGCGACCCCTCCAGCCCTCCACTAGTTGGAGTGACGATCTGATGTATGCTTTATCAAATCGTCACTCCAGTCGCCTCCGGATCATACTTTGCAATCTATGGGGGAGGCCTACGGTCTGGCTGTTGGCTGTTTTCATAGTGTGTGAGAGAATTTAATCAATTAAATTTTTTGAAGAGGTGAAGCAGTCAATTAAAGCTTAAACGTAAAACGTTGTGATTTCAAGATCAAAATATTTATTCAAGTAACCGGCTCTGAGAGTTAAATTACCCACACGTACAGATGAACCACAGAAATCTATATAAATTAGCATATTATAGTATTGCGGTTGTAACTCAGACCAATAAAGAAAGATAGACAGAACACCACGTAGGCACACCTTCCTTACTCTTTACTCTGTGACGTAGGTACATTTCAAATAGGTTTAAACCATACTCAACTTATTTTTATGAATAACCTACGCACACAAATTATGCATATACACTAAAATCATGCATGTTCTTCCAATTCATTGAGTATGGTTCCGACGTCACTTGAAATATAGATATGTAGCGTTCTATCTTTCTTTGTTGCTCTAATGGTTCAAAGTACAAAAATAAAAAAAATATATATATCCACGATACGAAAAAATAGAAGGTAAACAAATCATAACAAGGATTCTTACGGTGTCGCTTTTACATTTATTAAAACGTAAAATAAACATGAACATAGGTCGCCAGGTATTAAATTGTAATTATTTTTTTAAAATTGCCAATTGAATACCTTACAATTTTGAACAACTTTAAAAATATATATTTTGTGAAAATTATTGTTATAATAAGCAGATTTCAAATTTACTTATAAATCACTCAAATTAATAAGCTAATAACTTACATTATAAAGAACATAAAATGGCTAAATTTTCAAACTTTACGCTTTTTATGCTAACAATTATTATAAGTGTAGGTACTACAAAAGTTACTATTTTACAATGAAAGGAATGTTTCTATAATCGGTAGTATTATATCCGCTGTATGTGTATAATATAATGTTAATTTACTCTTGCTTAACACCTTGACTTTAACGTACTTTCTATTTGTTATTATTCGTAATTTCGTTGTTGTTTCGCCATTATTAGTGTTAAGTTTGTTCTCTTTGTTGCTGGTATTGTGTTTATTTTTAAGAAATGAGAGAACCTGGACCGAGCAATATCATTTGCACTTTTCCTTCACCGTAGAAAAAGCGGTTAAAATCTATATATATATATATATATATTTATATTGTATGTTTGTGAACCACTGAACTGTTTACTTACATTTTATTTTTATTTTTTCGTATCTTGATAATTAAACTTAGAATCGCAATGTATATAGTAAAATGTGGCAATAACACCCAAGAATTTAAGTCTAATAATAATTCAGGTTTGACAATTATGTGGGTCATATCACTGTCGATGGTGAGGAAGTAGAGATGGCGCTATGGGATACGGCTGGTCAAGAGGATTATGAACGACTAAGGCCTTTATCATACAATAACGTAAGTTGTGAATAATATAAATATCTTTATTATTTGATTGTATACCTACGAATTAAATATGTGTTTCCGTTATATATAATATTGTTATTTCTGCGCATGACTAACGTAATCACTAATACTTAGGTAGGTACCAACGTTATTATCAGCTAGAGATCATCGCAGCGTAATCTGTAAGGTGTGAATATGTGTGATATGCCGTGGAAGTAATACATATAGCATGAAATAGCAGCATATTGATGTTGCTATGTTTCTTAAGATGAGTGCCGAGAACCGGAAGCCCTTTTTATAGGTAACAAGTTAATAAGTCTTTCGATATTAATCCTATGGGGTAACGACGTATCTGTATTTTGATTCTTAATTGATGAATGATGATAGATGTAGGTAAGCGTCTATGGGCTTCCACTTACCGGGTTGAATGTGTCTTCGTCAGTCACCCTTAAGTCTTTTTTATAAAAAGAATACTGGTGAAATACTCCCTTAAAGTAATCTTAAAATGCTTTTATTTGCAGTGATGTATATCAAGTATATATATCTATTGAGAAACATACTAAAATCTGAATTTTTATGTAAGTTTTGAACCTTAACTATTGGCTATACGTATGTTATACGTGTTATACGTGTCGTCTTAGAAAAATGTTAAAAAAATCATGTCACATCAATGAAATGGCGTAGGAGTTATCAATATATATTTTAAAAGTTCCAAATCTGAAGTATTTTGACCAAAGACGAAAAACATGGTGGTAATGAACATAATATATCTATAGGTAATCTTTTGTGTGTGGCAAATATAGCAAATCCTCTCTTGTCCAGCTGAGTGGACTGTGGACAGGCCGGTGGTAAACAAAATATTATACATAATCTAAGATAGTGAAGGTGAAAGGTTTAGGCAGGTACTGATTATTTGCTGTGTGGGTAAACCTACGATGATAAATCACAGTTTATTCATTTAAAATAAATAGTTGATTACGTTTGATTAAAATAGATAATAAAAATACTTTCGTGAGTATTTCTTTTTAATTTAAACATATCCCAACAAAACATGTGGAAAGGGGACCAAATTAAGTACGAATTCAACGCTGATCATGATCTTTGTTTACTATATAGATTTTATCGTAGTGCCGCATCCATGTTCTATGATCCTACGTCAATTTATAAGAATGAATATAAATTTACTATTGTTATCGTCTATTGTAGCTCAAGGGATAAGACCTCGCCCTAATTTTTTATAGAAAACCCCGACCCGCAAACAGATCTGTATTTCAATCGGCACCGTTTAAAATTTTAAATTGTTAATTGCAATGTCATGTGCTGATTTACATTTAGTTAAAGGAAATCTTCGTGAAGAAATATCGTGAACACTCATGGGATCAGTACGGATGATTAATTACACCAAAACTCCCTTGATAACGAGGGGTTTTAAGGAGGGAAAAGAATTCAAATTTATTCAAAATAGATGCATAATTTTGTATTCACACTCAAAAGGTCAAATATTTTGTGTCATGGCCTTGGCTACGTTTGATTTATTTCTCTTGTGGAGTATAATATTGCCTACTAACATTTATAAATTTCGAGGTTAATAGTAGTAGGTATTTTTATACTAATTGAGTTACAAACGAGCTAAGGCCGGCCACATACATACGGAATTCCGTTTCGAGATTCCGTTTCGATATTCCGATTCGGAATCCCGAACGCAGCAAGTCCATATAAAATCTATGACCCGTCACACACGTACGGTAGTTTTCCGTTCGATATTTTGCGGGCAAAACGGGATTCCGTTTGTGTGTGGTCGACCGTTCGGTATTCCGAAACGGAATCTCGAAACGGAATTCCGTATGTATGTGGCGGCCCTAACAGTCGACCTGGTAGTAAGTAAAGACTGTAGTAGTCGGCCTATAGTATGTCGATATCGATACTATAGGCTTGTAATCAACTACAAGGCCTCAGATGCGTTGTTACCGTAGGTAATAATATTTATTCTGTGCACTGACGACTAATACGGAATGACTCACTGCTGGTAATTACACTAAACGACACCGACAGTAGTAAAACGCAATAAACGAAATCCACAAATGTATATTAAAAATATCATTTTTAAATATTAATAGGTACAGATTGACTGATGCATACTGACAATAATTTCAGTTAATGGTAGTACTTACATGATTAAACCTTCTCCAAAATCTCCTATGTTATTACCGTTATTGTTGCCACCTATCAAAAGCCACTGCTGTAGATATAGCCCTCCCCCATAGATTGCCTCACAACGAGCATATTTCCTATAGTAGCCACGCTTGGCAAGCGGGTTGGCAACCGCAGTTTTTTATTTATCTTCTATGTACTTCTAAGTTTATGATTTTAGTAATTGACGTAATTTTATAAATTACAGACAAACTGTTTCCTAGTGTGCTACTCGGTCGGAAGCCGGTCGTCGTACGAAAACGTTGTTCACAAGTGGTACCCCGAATTAAAACACTTTAGTGCCTCCGTGCCGGTCGTGTTAGTAGGTAAGCCCAAAAAAATTACACTAAGTATTAGAAATATTGCAAGAAATTTAATAAATTGTTTTTTATGTAAGCTATGATTGACATCAAGTATTCACAATCACATGTTTTTTCGGGGATATTGTATACGGATACGGTATAAGGCAATCAGGGAAAATGCTAGAAAAATACCTATTTCTTCAGGAAAACCACATACTGCTGTATGCCTATCAACCGTACGCGTCCCCATTACGGCAAGTCTTTCCATTTCATTGTATAGGTTTATTATGTTTTGGGAACTTGGTGGCTTTTCCAATGTCCGTGAATTCACACTTTTAGATGTGTTTTGATTATCCTTGTGTTTCTGTTTCTCATCCAAATTTTCTCTACCCTATTGCATAACCGCATAAATGATAAACGATTTTTTGTAGTGTAGATCCTTAGAATGGGTAACCAAATGTTTGTTTGTGGTTGTGATATTATTTGAATACTGATCATGGATAAATCTGCCAAGGGTAATTTGTTGTACGTTGATGACGATAATGATAGTGGTAAAATGTAATAATTGACGGCTTTTTTGTATTATTATTATGTTCGTTATATTATCTTAACTATGCTTATTTAGAAAAAAAAATGTTTTGTTTCTCCTTAGCAGAAAACAGACAGTAAAATGCTAGTGTTAGTATTTAGTGTCCTGCTTTTTATTACTAACGGAGTCTTGTGGCATATTGTAGGTAGCGCATTCACAAACTTCACACTTAAAATATATTAATTTTGTAACTCGGGAAGAATGCATAAAATAAAAGTTACCAGATTGATTGTGTTTAGTTTTTAGCCGAGTTCGATCGACTTCTCTAAAACGGCTGAACCGATTTAAAAAGGTAAATTGATTAAACTTTTAATAAATATTAAAAACAGATTTCAAAAACTAAAAAGAATGCAGTAATTTCCACATAAAAGCTAGAGAAAAGTAGGTAATAAAACAAAGGGTTCATAGTTTTAAGGGTTATTTTATTACCTACTATGTTGAATTCTTCCGTGCACTATACCTTTTTACGTAGTATTCAATGGGATTTTACTTTTTATTAAAAGTTAAATTAAGCCCCGTGATAGGGTAAATCAGGATTTCAATAGAATTTTAAAGGTCTAAGAAGGAAATATCTATCTATGTATCTATTATAGCCTATAAAAATCAATTGTTGAACATAGGCCTCCCCCATAGATTGCCTCATAGGGCGAATTTTGCCATAATTGCCACGCTTGTCAGGCGGGTTGATTAAAGGCAAAATTTCAAAACACTAATATCTTATTCCGTGAAGGTAAAGTACCAAATAGCAGTTTCTTCTTCTTAATCATTATCCCGTCAAAGTCCACCGTTGCTTTTCTTGTTGTAAGGAGTTAACATCGTATTAGTTTTCATTTGAACTGTGTCACTTGTCTTATTACGTCATTCACTACCTCGTTGCACGGCGTTACGTTACGTCACAGTTTTGATTCATAATACTCGTACGAGTAGCGTTTATAACTGTTATAATATTAGACTTATATGATGTTCACTTAAATGTAAATTGTATTTATTAGGTATATATAAGACTAACCTATATTTTATATAACAAGCACACAGTCCATCTGATGGTAAGTGGATGCTATTGCCCATAAGATGTCTGTCCTCGATTGGGAATCAAAATGCAGATGCGTTGTAACCCCCGAGGAACATGGAATGCCTCGTTCCAGTACTCTACACTCATCATAAACCAAAACCAGCACCTTTAAGTTGCTATTTTACGCTGGTAGGTATTCTGTGAGAGCATGGTCCTTCCCCGGTCTAGTCGACCCATAATACGTGCTACAACTATACATACATAGGCAAAGCATGGCTCTACTACGTATAAAAACGAGAACCTACTTCTTCCTACTTGTCGGGACAGTTGGACTTTCAATTATTATTTTTTCAGTTTATGTAGGCATATCTATATAGGCTTATACTAACATAATGTATATATTTTTGAATAGACTTGTTAAGATTTTTCATCATGTATTCTGCAGTATCATCTGGAGTCGCCAAGCTGGAGTTTTTTTTAAATATTTGTATGTTTTCAAAAGACACTTCTTTGGAAGTCATATTTTGTTATTTTAATATCTAGTAAAATAAAAAATATCTATATACTTATGCGTAATATATTTTTTGTTCAAACCATTAGGACATACGTAAGTTATTTTTACTTCCAACGTATTTAACTGCGATCAATTAAAATCGATAAACCCGATACCAAATGCCAATTTAACGATGTGATCGTCAATAATATTTTTATGTGTATACATTACCACCCCAGATATAGCTGTAGCTTATTATTTTATAAGACATTTAAAGCAATTAATGTTCCTGACTTTTTTACCTTTAAAATGATAAAAGCATATGAGTATATTATGATATTTTTAAAAATTAAACCTAAAATGCATAAAATGTATAGGCTAGATCCTGGTATCGCTAGTTCGCTAGAGAGCGATTTTCACGAGTTCGTGAAATTTCATTGCAATCGATTCAGCCATTCCGAAGATTAGCTCGCACAGACAGACAGACCGACAATTTTTTTAAATGGTTATGGCAGCTGAACTGAGTAAGTGGCGCAAATATGAGTCTCTGAGAGATGACTACATATTTGCGCCATTTGCTGTAGAGACTATCGGTCCGTGGGGTCCACATGCGGTGAAGTTCCTAAAGGAACTCCATCCGCGGGGAGTAGGAAGGACTATATGATAATTAAGTTTCTAGTTTTATATATTATTATATATATTATTATAGTTTTTAATATTGTATATAATTAAATTAAAAATAAAATGGTTATTCATATCTTAATGGCGTGCAAAAACTCCCTCAGTTTAATATAAGACAATTATTTCGATATTACAGACACACACTTAAATATTATTTAAATGTAAGGTATCGATTATTTTAATAATTTTTGTAGATACTAATAATTGCTTGGTTTTCATTAATTTGTGGCCATTAGTCCAATGTGTGTTAATGAGGAAGAGCTTAATTATTATGACTCCAGAAATGTTTATTTTTGCGCTTAATAAGCACGTCTCGTTGTGTTCTTTTTATTTGTTTTTAAACGTTTACATTTATGAAGCTAATTTGCTGTTCATTGAACCGTTTCCTTGTCGTTTTGTGTGTATTTCTCCAATAAAAAATGATTTTATTATAAATAATAGTAGTCTAGCATTTTTTTGATGAATATTAGTTTGAAAATATCCTATTTAATATATTAATCATCAGCTTAAGTGGAGCATAACAATTTAAATTTAACTTAAATTTAATTAATGACATTCGTTATGTATTTTTGTTAGCTTAAGAGAACCCACTACCGCATACGAGTATTGTGGCTGGCGTTAAAGGCGACAGGCGGAAACAGAAACAGAGAGAATCAGGAAATTGACAACGTTATCTTCCTGAAAACAACTGAAAATAATAAAAAACTTTATTTACCGACTCGTCTGCCAAACGTGGCATCTATGGCTAACTTGCCTAGGAGTCAATCTATGGCGGAGGGCAAAAGTCCATGGCTGAAACATAATATGTTGACTTTTGATAGGCTGTGATAAATGAATAAAAATATAGTCATTGTTTTCAAACTACAAACACACCACAACACATGGTGTCCTATAGTATGTGGTTCAAATTATCCGTGTACAAGATATGTCGAAAACTACTTAACAAAACGACCTAATTTTCTATTCACTATCCTCAGAATCATGTAGAGCTGGTTCCTTTCAATAATCACTTCCGTAATCCATTTAAAATATTACATGAGCGTTTGGAGTATGCACTTGGATTTTCCAATTTTTTTAACATAATATAATGCCAGAGAGAGTAAAACGCTACTGTGTTCCGATTTGATAAATAAGAGAGCCGGTAAAATTACAAACTGAGGCGGTGGACAACGCATGGCGGTGGCTTTCTTTGTTTGAAATTGGTTGGATTTGGTTAAAGTTCCATGAGCTACAATGGTGACTTGCAGGTGTACAAACCAGGTGGAGTGGTGCCTAGTTGTTTGTTCTCATCAACATCTTATCAAAACAACTTATTTAATAAAATAAGTTGCATATTTAAAGGTGACAAGGCTACGTACGTCTTACAAAGAGATGGCACGGTTGCCATCTTTTTTTTGATTAAATAAAGTACATACTTTTCTAAGCTAAAAGAAACTACGACAATTGAAAATAAAGTATTTATTTATCTGATATGCTATTTTTTCGATACAATATCTTCACATTCTATGTCTAAGTTAAGATAACACCCTGTTTCCTTGGTCCCATCACCTATCATTCATCAAAGAATAAACTTTGTAAATAAAGACAAAGTGACGGGGATATTTCTTTGTGAATATAGCTTATTGTGATTGTGTATATAGCTCGTTGTGAATCATTGATATCTTTAATGATGTCTGTATATAAAACTAGGACTAGATACCCTATTAATAAAAATTAAATTTATAATACTAAAATAGTAGGTAATTATTTATTGAAACTTAAATAATTTGGCGGTGTTTTAGTTCATTTAGAGAAATCTGTTCAGTAATTGATAATCCACGAATAAATTATTTAATTTATTATTTTGTATACTCGTATTTCGTTCTTTTAGTAAACATTAAAAGAAAATCTTTGAAATCATAAAAATAGTTTTAATTATACGTGGTAGAGCCATGCTGCAGCTATATTATGATTGTAGCACGAATGGGTCGGCTCGACTGGGGAAGGACCGCGGTCTCAGAGAATACCAGCTGAACGCTGTGTTTCGTATGGTGAGTGTAGAGAACCGGAGACCTTTTTTACTGGAAACGAGGCATTCCATCTTAGTCCTCACGGGTGACAACGCATCTGCATTTTCACAAGATAGGTGTAGATGTCTATGGGCCACAGCAACCACTTACCATCAGGTGGACTGTGTGCTCGTTTGTCACCCTTATCTTATTAAAAAAAACAAAGTGTTTTCACCTGCTTTATGGTTCTCATAAAGTATA